GTTATTATTATTGTTGATGCCGAGTCGATTACAGTCTTTAAAACATTATTTTAAATTAAGAATTAATGTCAGCATTATAACAGGGAAAGTAAAACTAAACTACTTCTTTGATTATGCTACTTAACATTACTGCTGGCATAAATAATACCAGATGAAAGAATAAAGGTTCCTGCACATATCACTTAAAGGATAACTTAAAGTTTATTACAACTTGGGTCTTATTTTAGTAGTTTCATCATTCTTATCAGTAATTATAACATTGTACTCACCGTGTTAATTCCTGAGATCTGGGAACAAGGAAACATCACAGAAAAGAAGTCAGATGGAGCATCAAAGACGACTATTGTTTGAGCATTTATGAGGATTTATTAGCAGTAATGGAATCTAATATTCATAGGTATGTTTTCATGAGTGTAAAATCCCCTGAAATAAGAGGTTGTGTTTTCATTACCTTAGAATGAGCTGTTTTTATAAACAGATGTAGTGGGTCCTCTTCCACAAAGTCCGCCATGTTGAACCGCTTTCTACCTCCGTAGTTTCTACGACACGCTTGGAAATACATTGTACACACTAGTCCTTTAAAAAAAACATTAGGTTTAGATATTTAAATACTTAAGTTATTTGGAAGAAAAAACCTGAATTATCCTTTAAGTCAATTTTACATGTTCCGCTGGCTATATATATATATAAGCTACTTTGGCTCATAGCACAGAAGACTGTGAGGCCTGCAGTAATTGCATGGAACCATACGGTGTTGGCATATGGCATCATATGTTGTTTCAAGGAGACCAAGGTTATATTGCAACAGATAAACCACCCAACTGCTTGGCTGCGTCAAAGCCTAGTGACCTATACAGCGTATCTAATGGCATTGTGACTTCTCTCTTAGTGTTTACAAGCTGCCTTCATCTGGCCCACTCCCAGCACTGTACTTTTTCCACTGAGACACAATTAGAGCTTTAGGTCATTTCCTGAGTTGGCCCTTATCTTGGCTCTCTAGCCTGTTTCTGCTAGATTGTTTGTCTCGGTTTCAGTTTAAGAACTGCCACTGTACCCACATCAGGCCTCACAGGACCGGGCCGGTGGATAGCAGGGATCGATTTTTGTCTCACTTACCTAAAATGCATCCCCAGCCAGATTAATGGAGTCTTTGGATGGCATTCCAAGTTGTCTGCATTTACATTATAGGTCTGTTTGACTGGCAGTAATGTCAATATTTCTTCACATTTAGTGGCACCACTCAGTCCAGACGGGGTTGTGTGGATGTTTAGCACACCCCTATCTGGGAAATAGCTTTTTCTACCTTCATAATGAAGTGTAAATGTACTCAAACACAGTACTACTGAGTTGACACAAATTGTTTCACTATTAAGAATTTAGGTTTGTTTAATCTAATTTAAAACACAACATAACTTATACTGGAAATGGAATAAGCAATTTCCAAACATTACAACAAAATGATTAATTATAATTATTCTATCCAGTCTCTATTTTTCAAAGACTATATAAAAAACCTTTATATGACATTGAACTGACTTTACTTTCTGTTATAATGCAGACTAAAGTAGTCGTCTGTAATAAATCAAGTCCTGAAACACAGACAGGATTGTTCTCCGCATTTTCCATGTGCGTCATAAACAGACATTTATGACACATTAGGCACACTAAAGTCATAATTAGCTTTCTTTTTTTTTTTAAATCAATCCTGCAAGGGAAGGCCGAAGTAAAAGTATGGAGTGAGGAAAAAATAAAAATGCAAAACCCCTCTCTCTTCTCTGATCTCTCTCTCTTCCTCCTAATAATTTTCATACAGCCCCTAAGATGGAGCTTGAAGTGCTTGATCTTTGGAAGCCCTGTTGCAACATCCATTTTAATGTGACATATTTGAATATTTGCGATGTGTGCGTCTGGGAGCCTTTGACTTGGCAGATTAACCCTCTTCTCACTGTCTCCGCCCTTTCCTGATTCCTCACTGGGGATGACAGTGATTATGCATATGCCCCAGCAGCTACAAGTGCGGCCAACACACTTCCCTCATTCTTCTGAGGGGAGGAAGCGGGCAGCCGCTTTGGAAGCCAACAAACCCCGATTCAGCTGCCAAAACCCCTGACAATGATCTCGGGCTGAACGAGGGGATGAAGTAGAGAAAGCAAACGGGCGAACGGGCCGTATGAACAGAGGGGGGAGTTAATAAGACGTCTTTGTCCCAGGGGAGGTCGCTCCCTAGAGGGAGGAGATGCCTTCAGTCGTGAGGCACAACAGCTGAAATGAACCATGGGCTTAATTTTTGAACTCACCAGTAAGATTTAAGAAGAAATTGGTTCAACACGCCCCCGCAATGATGACAAGAAGTCTCTCTGTTCGCTGTTGCCATAGAAACAGGGATTGGGTCTCTCTAGGCTGGTAAAGACTGTGATACCCCTTCAGTTGTTGGGAAATTAGGCAGCTAAGCCACAGATCTAAAGTGGAACATGGTCCCAAAACATCGATTAAGCCTCAACAGACTCCTCAGTAGTGCTGCAGCATTATGTATAAAATATGAAATGCGCAATATGGTTGTTTGATATGGAAACAGGTGATATAGAATGCAATAAAACATAGATTTAATCATGCAAGTGTTTCATCTTTAGGTTGTGATCGTGATGTTATATACATCTACTTTTGTCTTTTTGATAGTTATGTTGCATTCTACTGTTTCTATGACCACATTTGGTTGTTAGATGACTACAAGAGTATAAATAAAGTTCATTGATGAGGTGACAGTCTGGAAAATAGCACTGTGCAATTAGCATTTGAAGACCCCTTGATAATTCTCTTTATAGTCATGCAATTATCTTGCTCCAGTTACACAAAGATATTTGTTTATTTAGATTCCCAGTTGCTGTTACCACCACAACAGCAACTCCTCCTCCACAGTAAAAAAAACAATAACAAGTTAATTGTATAAAGATTTATGTCACATCAACACCTCTATTATGGTATGCTGTACAAAACCTAAAAATAAGTGATTGCAGAGAGTCAGAAGTGACAGCAGAAGGTTGCAACTTCATTCCTCTACAGTATGTGGAATTCTTGTTAGTGGGCCTTTATGATCTTTTTATTGTGGAAATGTATGTCAGTGCTGATCAAAATATGACATGTGGCCTTGCTTTTCACTGCTGGCACATGATGGTCACGCTGCGTCACACAAACACTAAACCTGTTACTGACATAAGGCCAGAGCAGTGGAGAGTAAGCAGTTTATACTCTCAGGTCTGATAGAGATAAGCAGATCAGCTGTTTTGACGGATTTGATGTAGTAGGAGAGCAAGGCCGATGAAAAGACTTGTAGTGGATTGGCAGGGATTGTATTAGAGAGAAGGTGGGGTCAGACTTTGGTGCACATGCCATGTCTGTGGCCTCTCTCCGAGCGCCGTCAGGGACCCGGAGATGAAGTGCTGTGCCACGTGTGATTTGGTGGAAATAAAATCTGTGCCAGCCCACACAGATGTACCATTATGGCTTTGCCTTGCCTGCCCTCTGAGACACGGCTACAACCTTTAAAACATGTGGCTGGCAGACCCTGTTACACAACCCAAGGCAGGGGGATGCATCCACGGGGCTCTCGCATCAGTCAGATTGTGTTGCTTCAGCGCATGCAGCTTCTGCCTGGAGGGAGTGAGGCTCTTTGTTCTGATGTTGTGTGTGTGTGTGTCTCAGAGAGCAGAGGAGAGTAGGAAGTGACATATCCACCGACCCCCCTCTGTTATGGCTATCCTGGTCCCCTCTCCTCTCCGCTCCTCTCCCTGATAACTGAAATCTCAGCTGAGGAGCAGAGAGGACAGTAGGGGTGAGTTGTTACCATGCTAATTCACCCTGCTACCCTCTGAAAACACGGGGAAGCCAGCTGAGAGGCATGAGAGGCCAAAAAAAAGAGTGTCTTTCACAGCACTTTGGCTCTTTATTATGCTACCATACTCTGTTTAATTGTGAGTTGGCATGGCAATGAACAACCCTCATAATGGCAGCAGCTGGGGGTGATGTGGGAGAAAGAGGAGGTGCGGGGGAGGGAGAGGCAGGGGCACAGGCAGGGGTGCATCTAGATGTTACGTAACACTGAAGGCCGGCCAGCCTTCAGCAAGCTACCCCACTTGTGGAATTTGCATATCTATTGACCTGTGCGGTGTGTGTGGTAGTGCTGTATATCAAAAGGTTTAGCCATTTTGTTTGTGCATGAATGTGTATGTTACTTTCTGTTCATCAGTTGAAGCCTTGTTTTCTCTTTTCCTCCCTCAGGTCCTTCGTACTCATGTGATGGTGCGTGTTGGAGGGGGCTGGGACACATTAGAGCACTATTTGGACAAGCATGACCCATGTCGTTGTGCTGCTTTTGGTGAGGTCACTTCCTAGCCCTTACAATACAACTTTATTGGTGTGTTTTGTTGCCTAATTAATAAACATCATTCACACCTGATGTACTATGTTCAGACTAGACATACAGCTATTTATGTAATTACAAATCATCATCATCATCATTTCCCATATTTAGATTTTCACTGTTGACCAGCAACAGTCAGTCTGTTTCATACTGAAACCAAATGAACTCCTGGCCAGAAAATTTATTTCTGCAATTGAAAATGTGCAGTCACTCACTTTTATTAGCAGCACAGACAAGAGTGATACATGTTCATAACTATGCTGGGTGAGACCATCGCTTTTCTTTTCCGTGGGTCCAAACTGTTGTTGAACTGGTGAGGTCAAGAGCCAAGTGTCTGGCCTGGACAGCTGACACTATCTGAAGTCATAATTGGTGTTACATTACTAACCACAAGGGGCCATGTTGAAGATCATTGAGTATTAAGTGATTACAGAAGCAGGCCTTTTGTGCTCTAAAAATATTCTCCCTAAGTGGTGAGATCATCAGTATTTCTCTGGCTAGTTTCACAAGTTATCCCTGTGGCTTAAGGAAGCATACAAATATGTTATCTACTATTGCTATCTAACAGCTTCATGACATTGGTGTGGTTAGCTATGATATATTTCTGGACCTCTAAATGGCTCTTATCCCTGGTGATTGTACAGGCTGTCTGACAATGTTGGTTAAAGGTCTGTCTTAAACACTTGTTTGTCTCCTCAGCCCACCGCTACCACCAGGCTAAAGCCAGTGGCCAAGGTGGGGGAGGCCATAGCAAGTCCTCGAGTGCCCACTCCTCCCGCTCCACCAGCCCAGGTCCACACTGGCGAAATGATGGCATCGCACCTTACAAACCTCCTGACAGGCGCTCCTTGGAGCCCCCATCTGCTCCATGTGCCTCTTCCTCCTCCACGCGTTCCGGCCGCTCTCAGAACACTTCTGGCTCCACCGAGCTCGACTCCGGTGCAGCACGTACTTTACTCCCACGGCCGCCACGAGACCGCTCAGAACCCCGCCACTTTAATCCTCTCAGGTGAGTGTGTGTGTCTATGCAAGTGTGCGGATAAGTGTTGGGATAAGTGTGTTACCATGATAAGAAATTAATCTCTCGCAAGTAGCCTGGCAGGCCACGCTCAGATTTTGCTGCTTGCTCTTTTGTGCCATTAGACAAGCAGGGAGACAGAAAGGCACACACACACACACATAAATTCAAAGAACTGGGAATATACACAACAAATACACATGCCAGGAAGCCACAGATTAGACCAGAGCAGATTTATCTAATCTCAGGTGACATTGCCCAGATAAATCCTCACACAGCCATCCTACAGCACATCCTAGTGGCTACAAGGTAGACACCAAACATGTTTACTCCGCTCTCCTTTCTTCCCACTCTTCTCTCTTCTACTTTCATTCAGTTAATTAGACCGTCGACTGCCTAAATATGGCTGTGATTCTGAGCGAGCTGTTGCTTAAGCTTGTCTTCTCTTGCCATGGCGAACAGATGGTTTGAATTAGTGTGAAACCAGTGACAAATGAAACCACACATCAGTTTGATATGCTTCTCAAGTGATCAATGATAGAATAGTGGCATGTTAAGGCCATTATACGTGGCTCTTTCTATTGGATACAATAAGATCTGCTTATGCTCTTCAGGAAGCCGGTAAAATGTTTAGTTGGTCACATACCTTCGCTATATGTCAGAGTGTGAAGGCGCCATTGTTTAACACAATTTGGAGCTGAATGGTGGTTTACTTTGGCTTGTAGCCAATGTGTGGGTCATTTCTGTACTGTGCGATGGCTCAGACCAGACGTCAAGGCAACAGCTCATTCGAATTAACCCTGTGTGGGTGTGGCATCCCCTTTCAAGTGCGCCAGACCAGATAAAGACTAATCTGACAACTATCCCTAGACAACTGTTCACAGCTAACTGGGGAAGTAGGTCAACAGGTGGGCTCCATGCAGGCAAATTACCATGCCTGAATATGTACGAAACTAATTTCTGAGGATAACTTTAGAAGTCTGATGTAATAAAACTCTAATTAAAGGCATAGCCTGTGATCTAAATTAAAAAAAAACTGTATCCTCACTATCAAAACTGAAAACACAGGTCTGCAGCATGTCATCATTCCTAATTTGACTGAATTTGAGAAGAGAAGACATTTTTTTTACCAAGATATAAGATATATTATGTAAATACACCTGAAATCTTCACAGTCAAACAGATAACACAGCCTCTACTGGGTCCTTAAATATCAATTTACAAGACAAACTGTATTGATCTGTACTCATCAAATCTATCTAGATTTGTTCTTCCTGTAAGTGAACTCTAAGACCGGATTATACGGTTAAAGCTAATGCTCTTACTGGTGCGTGACAGTGGATGGGTGTCTGGTTGAGAAAGGGCAATTCAGTTATGTGTTGGGTTAGAAAATCTATAAGACCAATTATGTGGTGTTATTATACATATAAATGACTCTTTGTCTCCTCCCTAAATTGTAGGAATAAGGAGACAAAGTTACCACTGACGAGACGTCTGTCTGGAGACAGTGACTCCTCTACAGCCTCCTCTAAAGGAGGAGGTGGAGGAGGAGGAGGAGGACGGTACTCTCTTGGTGGTTCCTCACGGCGCTCTGGTGAAGAGGTAGTCCTGCTTGTCAATCGAAAGGAGGGGAAGCATTTGATCGAGAGGCCTGGAGCTCGAAATCAGTCCCCGTCCCTGCGTCCCTCACTTCCCCGCGCACGCAGTCAGTCTCGGGAACGTCCTGCACTCGCTCCAATACTCAAACCCAACCCACCACAAGGATCATCTGATGGACCTCGAACGTCCCGCACAGAGAGGGGCCGGTCCCTCGGAAACGAGGGCCCGAGAAGGCTCCATGCTCCACGTTCCCACAGCCAGAGTAAGTTATCTAGCCGTACGCGGTCAAGTGATGCCAGCCCGGGACCCGTTTCCTGTTACAGAGACCCTCAGCCCCCACCCTCAGACAGACGAGAGGACCTTAGGGCCAAACAAATGCCCCCATCCTCTCCCAGATTAGGTGGTGGGTTCACCAAGCGGCAGTCGTCCTCGTGCTCTAACTCACCTATTAAAGGGGTCCAGAACAACAACAGCAGCCCCAGCAAGAAGACAATAACTACTCCCAGACCTCCTGCCCCTCGCTCACCCTCTGTAGGAAAAGGCAGACTACTCCCACCAGTCAGCTCAGGAGGTCGACGTTCACCACACTCATCTCCCCGCAACTCACACCATCATGCTGCCCGCTCACCTCGAACATTACAGGGCCCTCGCTCTGCTGGGCGGGGCCACCATAGGAACTGGTCTGGCCTGGAGCGCCAGGAGCCCGAGGAGGAAGAACAGGGCCTTGGCTTCCAGATTTTACCAACACTAGACCCCCAGAGGGAGCAGGACCTGTATCGCAGCTTTGAGGCTGAGTTTTTGGCCAATACACAGCAGGTTAGAGGAGTGTCTAGCATAGCTCCAGGAGGAGCGACCCTGCAGACAGCTGGGACACATTCAGTGCCCGCACCCACTGATCCTAATGTCACTGACTCCGCTTATTCCTCTTCTAACTCCTCCACCTCCTCCCTGAATGTGGGGGCAAAGATAGGAACTCTGCCTGACCTCAGGGAATCCAAGAGGACTAATTTCCGTCACTTCCCAGTGGAGGATCCCTTAAATTTACTTTATGGACAGAATTTTGTAGGACCACACAACTTTGGTCAAGGAGAGCCTGAGCACTGGGGAGAGCGTGGAGGAGGACTCAAGAAGCTCCCAGCCATCTCTAGTTCCATAGAGGAGAGGGAACTTCCATCTTCCCTGCCTGGTCTTAGAGACACAGCGTCAGACATATTGATGAATCAGGTCCCCTCACAACCTGCTTTCCACTGTACTAATATGAATGGAGACCATGGTGGTTTTCCTCCTACAGGGGGGCTGACAGGTCAGCAGGGTCAGCTTGGCTGGGGCACAGGACCTGAAGGAGATGTTCCTCTGGAGAATCACCAGCCAAACTTACCTTATGACCTAGAAAATGGTGACGGTAGTGATGACCTCCCGCCCCCAGAGGCTTGCCCGTCACCAGTGCCCCTTCCCCCCTCTGAGGACTGCTCCTTCCAGGATTCCTCTAGTGAAAACTCTTCCATGTGCTTCAGCCTGAGCGAATCCCGCTCTGAGTCCCCGCCACCATCTTCCCCCCTGGCCAACGGGGACACAGATGGAGAGGTGTTGAAGACTAAGAAAGGGCAAAAGAAGGGAGACAGGGTAGCCCCTATCTCAAAGCACAAACTGAGAACCAGGATCAGGCCTCGTATTGACAACAGGCCAGAAAACAGCCCCTCACGTATCCCCACGCCGGTCAGCTACAGAGATCTACAGGCTCACGACACGCTTTCTCCATGCCACACCCCACCAATGTCTCCTCAAAGCTCGCACTCTACTGGTCGTCCAGCAACATGCAAGAGCCTGCACCAGGCCTTCGCAGACATGATCCATCCTCAACCACGATCCCCAGCCATGGGCAACAAAGAGTGCTCCTACCCTGGACAGTCAGGGAGCCTGGACACTGAAGCTTGGATGTAGCACAAATGACACAGGGGGTTGTTCTCATGAACTTTGACTACTGTGTAAAAAAAACCCAACAAACGTAAGGCTGGGCTATAGACTGTTTTCATTGCATGTCTAACACTCCTTCTTTTTCACTTAGTTTCTCCCCTGAATACCTGCAGGGGGTTCACGTTGCTTTTATTTTGCACTCAAGCCAAAATTATTTATTACCAAAGGAATGGTCTTTAATGTTACTTTTACTGTAATTTTAATGTGTGCATGGGGATGATTTTGCCAATCATAAGGTGTTTTTTTTTTTTTTTTTGCAAGACACTTTCTCATGGTTGATACAGAGAGATAGAGAGAGAGCATATGTGCTGCCATGTGCCCCACTGAGGGGCATGGTAAAGTGCCAGGGATTTAAAGCTGCAACTCTATAAACAGTGTAAACACTAAACCTTTAGTCAGATAGATTGGCTCCCTCTTGTGGTTTGCCAGAGCATCTCAGCTTGCCTTGATAGTCAAAATACTGTTTTGATGTGATATTTTCAGTCTCTCCACATTAGTGGTTTTCACATATGACTCATTATACTCATATTTACAATATATTGATAGGTAACATAGACAAAGGTACCCCCATCGTTCTTCTGTCTTTATGAACATTACATGCACTACCAACGTCTGTACAGTTGTCTGTTGTGATTAATGTCTGATTTTTCACAACAATTGGTGTAGTTAAGATAGATATTTGTTTTTGGATGCTTAATATGTTACAGGTTTTCAACATTATGTTTAATGCAGTAAAACATTTTAACCATATTTCTACTTTAAGTGGATTGAACCTATACATTTACGAGGAGCAGTGAAGGTTGTATTACTTTGTGTCATTGTCACTGAAACAGAAATGTTGAGAGCTCTTCCTCTGACCAAACTGTATTCTGGAAAATATACATGTGCAAAAAGTAAAATGCTTTGGAGAATGAATGTGTAAATACATGTTGATGTGCTCACTGATAGACATGGGCATTTTGTATATAAAAAGGCATTGAATATACAGTTTAATGTACATATTCACTGTAATCAGTTCTGTGCTGCCTTAGCTATGCAATATTGGTGGTGGAAATGCCTTGACAATTCCCTTTGCCTTAAGATTTAGTCGCAGATTAGTTTTTGAATGTTTTCACTTGACATCACTAAGATCTATTCGGTAACACTACTTGCCATCATTAACTGTTTATGATGATAGAAATTGGAGAGTTTGAGTGTGAATGTGGAAAAAATAGTGAGGAACATTGCCAATTTGAATTATAAATTATACTTGATGAAGGTGTACAAATCATGATAAAGATATATAATTTATTGCCTCTGAATCATATTAGTGGTTAGAAGCCAGATAACCTACTTACCAGATGGATTTCAAAGACATGGCACAATCTGTGGTGACCTCTAGTGGCTAATGAAAGACAAGAAATAAGAGTCTGTTTTCCTGACACAGTACTTTTCCCTCCATAGTGTCCAGTGCTGATTAGAGCCAATAAAAATGGTATTATAAGGTGAAGTTTGATGGATGAAGAATGATTTTGACGTGAGTGTCTACGTGTGTGCAACAGTGCATGAATAATAGATACTGTAACTGGATATGTTCTCTTGTGATGCTCTTGCACAGAGTATTAAAGGCCAGGCTCCAGCTACTGTACTTCTGTTGTTGGTATTTGAACAGATGTGGACTTGTGGACTGTAAAATATAATTGAAAGTGGAGATGTAGGAATTGTTGTGTTAGTGCCCTGCAGCCATCTCCAAAAACATCTTGTGAGAAATTGGTGGCCGTTTGTTTTTGATGGGTTTAAAATGGGTTTTCGGTCGGTAAAAAAGAAAGAAAGAAAAAGTGGATCACGTGTTTTTGTAGGCCGCTGTGAATAGGCTAGGAAAAAGAAGAGTGCATATGTGTGTACATACTGTATGAGAATATGTACAGAGTTGGAGTGAAGAAGGGAGAGTGATGTTGGTCTAATTTATTTATTTAAGAAATTAATTGAGTGAGCTGTAAATGTTCAGTGAAATCCAAATGAGGCAGGTCCCAACGTGTATAAACATCATGCATTTTAAAGAGTTTTAAGTTTTCTCAACAGTACACCGTAAAGAGACACAATAATGAGTTAGAAATGTTTAAAACTGGTATGATCCTCCAGATAAACTAAACACATCGGGGCTGTTTTGCAATATTCAGAGGTACAGTAATTTGATTTAATGCTGACTGCTCATTGCCACAGATAATTTACGGTGTACCAGTATTGTTGGAGCTACATTGATCCGATATGTAGCCGGTTATCACTTTCACCTGTATAAACAGATGTATTCTAGTTGTTTTAAATGTAAATTTGTTTTGGCTTATTTGAAGACATTTGCATTTTGATCAACTGGTCGTCTAAAATCTGCCAGTTATGTAAACTGTGACTTCATAAAAACACGCCATGAAATTCGGTTGTCCTGACATAATCTTTGTCCTGCACAACTTCATGCAAATTTAATGAAACTCTCTCTCTCTCGTTCTCTCAATCCCTAATCAGCGAAATTTTGAATGTTCATGATCAGACAATTTCTTGTTTGCTAATGTTATTTTCACTAAAAACTTAAGTTAAATGTACAGATTGCTTGACATTGTGGAATTTGTATGTATGAAATAGCAATACTGCAACATTTCACTGTTTTGTTCTGATTTTTTGAAGTTGAAAATGCTGTCAAGTTGTTCTTGTAATAAATATTTTCCTCTGAAGTTTATGAATTATCTCTGATCAATTTTTCATATAGAGCTTCTGTCACAGCAGCGTGCAAAACAGATTGGGGTTGGACTTTAAAGGAAGTTGTCCAGTGCTTGTTTGAGAAAAGCCAAAATCTCAATGTGTTAATAGCATCTTAATTAAGAACTTTTTACACTTGAAACTAAATGTATTTGGTGAATATGATGAACGATACTGTGTGTAAATATTGACTGATATCTGATCTCTTTTTGCAGATTTTGCAGTGTGAAGGTAGAAAATGCAACAAAACTGAATGTCATATACCCTGCCCCGTCTTTGAGTATGTGTCGAGTGGAAATAATGTAATTTTACCTGGAAATAAGTGACAAAAATGCAATTCTACCTGCTAATAAGTGGACATAATGCAATTCTACCTTGAAATAAGTGGAAATAATGCAATTTCACCTGGAAATAAGTGACAAAAATGCAATTTTACCTGGTAATAAGTGGGAATAATGCCATTTTACCTACACTTAGCGAGTTTATTTGGTAAAATAAAGCTAGCTAAAACTACAGTCCCATAAAAAAACCTACTTTTGTGAAGTTTATAGTGTTACCTTTTTGTTTTAACTGTTTATAGAGAGGTGTTAATTTACCTTTATGATTATTTTAGAGGCTGCAGTTCATGGTGCTGTTGATTATTACATTATACTCAGAGGTGTTTCTCATATTCACTCTATTTAAATTAAAGGACAAAACATAGGAAACATCTTTTTAATTATAACAACATAGCTACATAATTCATTTATATTATATATTATTATCAGCTGTGTACCTAATAAACTGGCAACTGAGTATATCACCTTTGTATTTATAAAACCTGATTTCTGCTTTTTCAGTAACTATATTAATAACTCTTAAATAATTTCCTAAATGTAATCTTTTTCTTTATGTTGTGAACTTTTAGAGGTCAGTATATAAGCCTAAAACATCCAAAACAGTGCTAATCTCTACAGAATACCTCTGGAAAAGTGCGCAGAAGCTCATATTTGTTGATGCACTTCACTGAGCAGCTCTCTGTGAATGAAATCTGACGCTCGTGTGTGTTTGCGAACGTAATTTTGTGGAAATACGGAAGTAAAACCAAGTGGGAGGGGACGAAGGCCATCACTGCCCCTACTACGCCTGTCACGGTAAGATGTTTGTGGAGCTTTTCCTCTCCAAATCCATCGTGTGGCGAGTCTAATTTTAACCCCAGAAGGTACGCTAATTCGCTGGGTAAGGTTTAAACCGGGCCGATAGATTAAGAGCTTAACTATCCCTCCTTAAAGCCTGTACTTAGAAGGTCATGTCTCAGCTGTGCAGAGCTAGAAAAAAAAAAAAAAAAAGAAAGGTGTCCAGGCGCTAGCTGACACTGACAGGCACACTGCACCAGACTGCTAGCCCCTTTAGCCTGCAGCTAAACAGTAACTACTGCAAACATGCAGGAATGGGCGAACCAGTTATGCGTGAGTAATTGATTGCAGATCTGTCGGGGTTTATTTAAGTAACTTTACGTCACGTTGTCGTTAATTGCGTTAGATTTAGTTTGGGCACACTCGAGCCTGCTATGCTAACCGCTAACGTCACGGTAGCCCGGATGCTAACCAGCTAGCGAACCTTTCCTCTACTTTTTTTTTTTAAACTTTTTGGTTAAAGTTAGCAGCTTAAACTCCAAGTCAGCTGTTGTTGGGTGCTCACATTGTTAGTCTGGGGTTTATTTAAGAGGACACTCTTTAGTTCGGCGTTGGTGTGGCTCGTTAGCAGCGTGAATTAATCGTACAAACATAATCCGGAGTCTCGTCTTGTAGCTCCGTCGGCTGTCAACGCATCGTATTTGGTTGACTTGTGGCTAACAGGGCTGCCTGAGGATGACAGCTACCTGAGGATCGATTAATAATGACCCTGCAACCTTTGATTGATTGAATGCTGTAATTGGTAGACGCTGTTCATTGTTACTAATAGCACATTGACGTTAGTAACTGAAAGGCCTCATTCATTCAGACTTTATAGCAAGTAACTCTCTGCTAGCGTCATTATGAAGTTTCATTCAAATTAATGTTATTTGAAATATAATTACTAGCTGTATTATTGTTATATCCACAATAACTAACTGTATTATTGTTATATCCACAATAACTAACTGTATTATTGTTATATCCACAATAACTAGCTGTATTATTATTGTTATATCCACAATAACTAGTTGTATTATTATTGTTATAT